ACAGAATTACTTTCTAGCATAACACATATAATATTCATTTTAATATTTGCAGAAAGCCAATCATAAAATACACATTTTTCACAGGCTCTATCCCGGAGCCAGCCTGAGCAGGGCAGGGGGTGAAGGGTTCCTGGTGCCCACATCTCCTGTCTGGGTGGTTCTAGGGGTGAGAGGCTGGGGGAACACGTCTCTCCTCCCTGTGCTAATGCAGAATTGGAGCCCCCCAGCAGCCCCAGCCCCTGGGGACAGCTTTCCCACTCTCATTTGAGTCTGCATTTTGTTTACTTCCCTGCCCTTAAAAAATTACAAATTTCTTCTTTGTTATTGTGATGTGTAAGAACAAAAAATTTAGAAACCCCTGGGGAATGGGAGAGGTGGGCAGGGCCCTGCTATAGCATCAGCTGGTTTGATTTGTCTTTTGCCATGCAGTTAGAAGTCCATGGAAGTGGTCCCACTGTGCTCCTGCAGTCCTGGGGTCCCAGTCATGATCTGCTATGCCCAGGGCCACACTTCACCCCCTGAGTGGGGCTGTGGACACGGCTCTGCCATGTCCTGCACCCCCAGTGCCTGACCCACCACGAGTGATGCCTCCAGCAAGGAAGGCTTTATATGGGGATTTGTCATGGACGTGTTTTATGAAAAGTCTTTTTGCTAGGATCTTTTCTCCTGAGAAGCTGAGAGGCCTCAGAAATGTAATGTAAACAATAATTATCTGCTGCTGTGGAATGCAACAGGTGCATCTTTGATTGGTCCCATGTGGTTGTTTTTAATTAATGGCCAATCACAGTCCAGCTGGCTCGGACTCTCTGGTCAGTCACAAGAGTTCATTATCATTCCTTTCTATTCCTTGCTAGCCTTCTGATGAAATCCTTTCTTCTATTCTTTTAGTATAGTTTTAACATAATATATATCATAAAATAATAAATCAGCCTTCTGAAACATGGAGTCAGATTCTCATCTCTTTCCTTGTCTTGGGACCCCTGTGAACACCACCACATTTGATGCCCTGTGTGAAGGAACATTTCCAAAGGGACTTACTGCTCTGGGGGCTGTTGTTGCTTTTATGCAGTCAGGTGTTCTCTGTCCAGCTGTCTCAGCAGTTCCTGCTGCTCTCCAGGATGCAACTGTGCTTCCACCCTGAACAGCCAGAGAGCATAGGAGAGCTGCTGCTGGTGCCACTCAGAAGAGAAAGCCTATGGAGGAGGCTGCTGAGTGATTCCAATCTGGGACAGCCCTGGAGGAAACTGGGAAATTTTGGCACCCCAGCAGCTCATCCCACTTCTGGCACTGTTGCACTGCCTGCTTGGGGCTGTTTTTTTGCGACTTTGTGCCTCCTACCATTCATTTGGTGTGTATTAACAATGCAAGACCTGGGGCCAGCTGCCCCCTGTCCACGTTGCCTGGTGCCACGGTGTCCAAACACTCCTTCCCTAGTGTAGAAACCTAAGATTTGAAACCACCACGACAAAGGAGCACGAAAAGAAATAGAGGCACAAAATTACTTACTCAAACACCTGACCTGAGCCAGGAAACAAAATCAAATACTTTAATTTCTAGTGACTGAAATCTGTGTCAGAAAGGGCTTTTGCTCCAAGGTGGTTTACATGCTGTTTTCCATGGCAGGAACCCCAGGACTTCTGCAGGGACACACACACACACACACAGAGATCTGCTCTCTTGTAGCAGTGGGGTTGGCTCAGAGAAGGGAATGTGAGAAGAATAAGCAGCAGGAGTCTGTAGTAGCAAGATAGAGATGCTACAGATATATTTCCCCCTTTGCAAAAGATCTGTGGCTAAAAAAAAACCATTTCCCACTGGTAGCGTGGTATCTTTTTCTGGTGCTAAATTCATGTTTCATCTCTTTTTATGCCTCCAGAACAGTGAGGGGAGATGGCAGGGCCCGTGGGTGGGCTCTGAGGGGTGCCACGTGCTCCCTCCCACCATTCACCAGCCCCAGGCAGGTGCTGCAATTGTGCCCTGATGCAACTGCCATGTTCTGCACGTGCCCAGCTGCTTTTCCCATGGGAAATGGCTCTGCAGGAAGGCTCACAGGCCCTCTGGGTTACAGGGTGTGAAAAGTGCATATTATATGGCTCTATGCAGATATTTACTACGTGGATTTTGTTGTATTGATTAGTAGTGCTGCATTAGCATTTTAATAATATGATAAATGTAGTCCTGTAGTTAAAAGGTAACTTTTGTAGTTAAAGTAGGAACTATGTAAGTGGGATATTTTTTAAAGAAAGGAATGAGGTACTCACACCAGATGGCAGCCACAGGACACCTCAATCTTTCAGAGAAAAAAATTTATTGTTCTCTTATCAGAAGAAATGAACTTCTTCCTGCCTGGCTAAGGATTGAAGGCACCTTAGGATTAGGAGGAAGAAGTTGACACTGACCTGGCTGAATCCTTTGTTTGAATGGAATTTATGCATCCTGTATGAGGTGTATGAATATGCAACAGGCTGTTGCTTTTAAGGGTTAATCCTCTGTTAACATGGGTCCTTTTTCGGGCTGATTTTGCCCAGAAAGAGGTACCCAGACTGTCTGTAACTCTTTGCTTTTATTGTCTCATATTGTCCGAATTCAAATTGTCCAAATTTTTATTACTCTAATTAGATTACTATTTTTATAACCATTTTATTACTATTAAACGTTAAAAAAATTAAAAACAAGTGATTGGCATTGTTCACACAGGGGGATCATTAAGGATCAGAGGATGTCTCTTGAGCACTTGTGAGCCAGCATGGTGCAGCCCACAGTGCTGCTGCCCAGGGAGCATCCCCAGGGCAGATTGGTGCCATCCTACCCTTTGAACCCACTGTATCCTTTGGCACCCGTGGGACAGGCAGTGGCAGTGGGTGTTTTTGGTGGGACAGGCAGTGGCAGTGGCTGCCTGGTTCCAGCAGGGCAGGTTGCAGCATTCTGAGAGTGCCAGGGCACTCACACACTGTCTCTGCAGGGACAGTGGCTCCTAAGCCCTGTGCTGCCCACCCAGCAGCATGTGGACCTTTGAATAAGCAGAATTTAAGGCTGGGATTTGGCATTCATCTGGCTGGCCTGAAGCCAAGGCCTGTCCCTTAAAAACCCACAACTTCCCTTCACATCTCTGGCAGTGCAATGCTCGGTGTGCCCCAGACATGAGCATACACTCCTGCCAGCCTTGCAGCTCACATCCTCTTCCACAGGGCTGCAGTTTTCCTGTGGAAACAAGCTCTGAAATAGCCTGTAATTATAATATTACCTCCTAGGATCAGGTGCTACCTTCTCATAGCTGCATGTGGATCTGAATGTGTATTTGTACTGCATGACTTTGAGGTTTAGAGATAGTACATGCATACCTTGCAGTTACCCTCCTCTGCACAGACTTTTTTTTTTTAAGGGTGCTCAGGTTAGTTTGAGCAGAATACAGTTGAAATTATGTTTTTCTAAATGTGTATCTCTAAATGATCCAATATCCAGGTGGTGTATTTCCATGTCTCTGCATGGCCAGCAGTGAGAGCTGCTGGTGAGCAGACCCTGGTTCCCTTTTGGGCTGAGCTGCAAGCCAGGACTGACCCCAGCCCTCCTGTGTAACAGCTGCCAGTAGCCCAGACTCTCCCAGATGGCCTCATGCAAAGCCCACCTGCTTACACTGATTGCTCTGGGTCCTGCAGGAGGTCACAGCTGCTCCCCATCACCCTGGGAGCGGTGTTGGTGCTGTGGCTGCAGCCCTGGGGGGCTCCCAGCAAGAGCTGCTGCAGGACTGGATGTACCCCAGTATGGCAGGTCTAAGGAGGTGAGCTGGTCTGGGGAGGCTGCAAGTGGAGAGGGAAGGAATTGCCCCTGTTGTGTGGTGGTTGCTGGAAAGGGATTTTCCTTGGAGCCAGCACTGTGTGTTTCACAGAGCAAGGGCTGTGCTGTGCTCTGAGGGCACCTGGGCTGGCTCTGCTCTTGTGTTGGGGCTGAGCCAGCTCGGCCCTGAAGTCAGGGTGAGCTGTGTGCTGGCTGTGGGCCTCCCTTGGGAAGAGCTGGGTGCCCAGGAATGTGGCATGGAGGTTTTCCCTGTGTCTCATCTGTCTCCACCAAGCTCCAGTTTTTGACTTTGCTTTTGTGTGGTTTATTGCTGATCTTACTCCTCCCCTTCTGAAATGGTTCTATTAGCAGGGTGCTAAAGAAATCTCTTTGAGCTAATCATCCCAGCTCTCTCCAGTGTGTTTGCCACGTGCTGGTGTATCTGCATGGGTGTATTAATAGTATCACACTACTCTATGTAGTGTTCATCCCAAAGTGCTTCCCCTGCTGAGGGCTGGATAGAAACACACAGCAAGGGGAAGGAGCTTCTGCCTCACCTCCCAGAGCCCTCAAAGCCAGGGGGTGTGAGAAGACCCCTCTTGCTGGTCTTGCACCAGCACTGAGTTTGGCCCCCTGGTCCAGTTGGGATGTCCCATGAGTTTCCCTACCCACAGTGGCTTTGGGGAGGGAGCAGAGCAGTGGTGTTCTGTGGCATTGTATATCACAGGAGGAGCATGGAGTGTGGATGGATGGCTGAAGTGTGCAGGTGTTCTAAGAAGCTGCCTCTCATGGGAAGGCTCTGCCACCTGCTCAGGTGTCTGTGGCCAAGCCCCTGACAGCACGTGGGCTCCTCTCTTATGAGGAGCAGGAATAATGCACCTGGAGTCACATTAAAATGTTCAAATTGTGAACAAAACCCTGTCAGGAGGGATTGCTGGTAGGCATGTGCACAGGGCAGCACAGGGTGGCATTTCCCCCTCCCTTGTCTCTGTTCCAGAGGTTCAGGTGAGGCTCCTCACCAGCCTTCTTCTCCTCTGGAAGGTTCTGGTTGTGAATTCCTTAAGGAAGCCCTGCCCCTGCCTCCTCTTCTCAGGGGATGTGGGTGTGGGCTGGTGTCTGCTGGATGCTCTCCATCACCTCATGGTGGGAGGAGAACAAGAACCCATTTGGAATCAGGGATGATGGGATTTCTCCAGGTGACACAAAGAGACTCCGCATTTCATTCCAGCTGTCCAGCAATAGAATATATTTAACTTTAAAAAAAAATATCCACAGTATCAAAACACAAGAAGTCACAATCCAATACTCAGTGATATAAACAGGCATACAAATGGTCCTCTGCAACCCCTCAGTTTGGCCTCCAGTACCAAAAGGAAAGGTGGGCTCACCAGCAAGGTGCAAACAGCACAGGTGGGCAGGCCCCTGCTCCCTCCTTCCTAAGGTGGGAAATCTGAGCTACCCATGCATGGCCAAAACCACAGAGCACACAGCCTTGAGCCAGCAATCCCCTTCCCAGCCTTGGGAGCAGTGCCTGTGCTGGGGTGTGGGCCAGGGTGGGATCACTTGCTGGGTGTCTGGGGGAGCACTGCCATCACCTCCAGCAGTGCTGGCACAGGTGAGCCCCTGTTTTGATCCCAAGCCAAAATGTGCCATTCTCTTCCACCTGCCTGTTGAAAGCATTCTCAGAGCTGGAAGATGGATTGAGCTGCTCTGGCCTTTGCCATTCTTAGAGCCTGAACAAAATAACAAAACCTTCACTTCCCACTCCACCCTTCCAGCAGTGGGGAAAGGGTGTTGTTGCTTCCCTCTGGCCACTTGGGTGGGTGCAAGAGAAGCAGGACTTGACTTTTAGCCTGGCTTAGGTACTTATATGGATGACAAGAGGAGGAAGGATAGGTTGTGGTTAGCATGAGCTCTGGTGGGATTCACTGTAATGAACCCTGCTTCAGATGGTGCCACTGTGACCTGGGGTTTTGCACCATGCTGCTCCCACAGGTGGATGGGAATGCTGAGTGCCAGTTTGGGAAATAAATTGCAGCACTGCTTCAAAGTGCATTGTGTGTGTGAGCATGCAGCAAAGTCAGCTGGAAATTACAGGGCTGTGTTGCCACACTGTGGTTGGCAAGCATGTGGGAGAAGACATTGCTTTTACCTGGGCAGGAATGTCAGATCTAGCCAGGGTCTCCTTGTACCTGGGGTTTAGATATCAAGGAACTCTTGGTGGTGTCTTGCAGTGGATGCAGTTTGGGCTGGGTAGCAATAAAATGCATCCTGGCTGGAGTGGATGCATGTGTGTGAGCTGCAGGGTCAGCCCAGAACAAGCAGGAGGCAAGGAATAAAACAGCCCTGTGGAGAATACTGGGACTGTGAGCTTCATCTTCTTGCCCACAGAGCTCAGCACAACGCTCACAGCAAGATTTAAGGGCAATTTCCACCACCTCTGGAAGGTCTCTAATAAAATGTGTGCCAGTCAATGCACACAGGGAGGGACATGCAGCTTTGTGTCTTGGGCAGCAGGAGTGTGGCACAGATGGAGTCCCCTCTCCCATCTGACTCTCCTGACCCCATGGCTGTGTGTGCCAGAGCTGCTCCCAGCACAAGGCCCTGCTGAGAGCTGTGAGCAACCCCAAACCCCTGCAGCAAGGATGGCCAACCAGGCAAAAGGCTGGGAGGGTGGGGGTCACCTGCCAAAGCACCTTTTCCATGGTAAATATGGATTTGGCAACACCAATGAACTTGGGGAAATTGGTTCCTGCCTGGAACTGCTTTCCAATGAGTAGTAAATCAGTTGTTCAGCCCAGCTGTGTTCAAGTACCAAGAAGCTATTTCATTGAAGCCCTTTTTTTGTTTTGGTTGTTGGTTTTTTGTGTTTTTTTTTTTTTTTTTTGAGAAACCTGGTTTTTTCACAATCAGAAAGGAGCAGCAGAAAAATTCTGTGTTGCTGGCAGATGGGGGTGGAGCAACTGCATTTATTCTTCATTACCCACGATTGCTCTTTAGCTGTAAAACTTGCATGTCAAACATCTACATTTACAAAGCAGCTGATGGTGCTGGGGTAGCTGGGGGCCATGCACTTCGGACCAGAGGAGGGGCTCTGGCTGTGCCCTCGGGCTGTGCTGGTTTGCAGCTGGTCACAGCTCCCACAGGAGGTGGAGGTATTGTCCCCTCTGCAGTGCTTTGGAAGGAGGTGTGAAAACGCTGGGTGGTTAATTTTACCCTAAAGAGAAAAAAAAAGTAATTGTTGTTAGGGGAAAGCTCCAGATTTTCACTCGTAGCTGTGTCTTCACAGTGTGGCTCTTGTCAGTGGGCACCAGACAGGCCTCTCCAGATGCTGCCAGCTGCCCACAGAACTCTGACCTTTTGTGAGAGGAGGAAAACCAAGTCACAGTGGAGAGTGTGGTACTAAAGATGGGAAAAGCAGAACCCCCTGGTGAGCACAGCCCTGCCCTGGGCTCAGTCTCTGAGCTCCCACTGCTTGCCATGGGGACACCTGAAGCCAAGGTGGGGACACCTGAAGCCAAGGTGAGGAGCTCACCTGTGGCATTCACGTTCTCTGAAAAAAATCCCTTTGCCCAGGATTTTTCTCTGGGAAGCTGAAAAGCCTCAGAAAAAAGGAAAACAATTATTATCTCATTTGCTTCTCCTGTGTTGTGCTCATGTGGAATGTGTTTGGAGATTGTTTACCCACAGGTGATTGTTTCATTGGATTCTGGTGTGAGTTGTTTTGACTCTTTGGCCAATTGGGGCCAAGCTGTGTCAGGACTCTGGAAAGAGTCACGAGTTTTCATTATTATCTTTTTAGCCTTCTGTAGTATCTTTTCTGTATTCTTTAGTATAGTAGAGTATTCTTTAAGATAATATAGTATCATAAAGTGATAAATTGACCTTCTGAGAACATGTCAGATGCATCATTCCTGCCTTTGTTGGGGCATTCCCTGCAAATACAATATTCACCATTGCCTGAGAGCAGGCTGCTGCTTACACCTGGGCTGGGGGGAGCTTGGCAGTGCCAGTTTTGTTCAGGGCTATTGGAAAAAGCAGAGGGATTTATCATTTTTATTACTACCACAGGGACAGCCTTGGGGAAAATGGATTTGATGTTTGCTGCCTGGTAGCAAGGCCAATCTATAAAGTGGCTCCTGTCCTAAAGCTGAGAGTGGGAAACTGTCTGCTTCTAATTAAAATCAATTAAGCAAATCACCACAATATGCAAAAATAAGGCTTTTTGTCCTGGGTGACATTTGGCAGATTTCAGAGCCTCTGAAGTGGTGCACTGAGTGTTTTCTTGGCTTCAACAATTCAGTAAGAAGGTGAAAGATAAGAAGAAATTTTACAGAGCAAAGCCTGAAAGTAAAATATAAATCCCACACCTCATCTGTGCATTGCTCAGACTCCTTCATGCAATAAATGCAGGCAGCACCCAGAGCTAACCAAAGTGATGCTCTCGGAGACCTGCAGCCATCCCAGGGAGGGCAGCATTTCCATTCAATCCTTTTCCAGCCAATCCAATTCTCTCATCCTCACTAGAGCAGAGACAGACAGCACCAAGTGTGGCCCAGAAAGCCAGCAAAACCCTGGTGATGCTGATGAGGAGCTTGTTCTGTCCCTTTTTGTTCCCAGGGGACCTTTTGTGCAGGTGCTAGGTCTCTGGGATGGGGCATCTGCTGCTGATCTGACTGACATCTGATGCCACAGGAGATGTGACTTTTGGCACTTTAGGCCCAGTGAAAATATCAGCTTGTTTATTCCTCCCCAGCCTGAGGCTTCTTGTGCTGCCTGTCCACTACACATATAAATCCACCTTCTAAAAGTGAACCCAACTTCACAGGCACCAGAAGACATTGTTCTTAAGCCACACTTGCTGCTCCTATTCCAGAGGCTTTGCCTGGTTCCTTTTATCCATGGCCTGTTATCCCTGTCTGCAGGGGCTCCTGCACACCCATCCTGACACCACAGCACAACTAACGTGATGCTTAGGTGGTGTTTGGTGTTTGCACTTGACTCAGCCATTCTGGTTTGGCAAAGGTGAGGGGTAACCATTGCTTTTTTGCTCTTTGGCATTGCACATGCTGCAGCTGAGCAGGCAAGTGGTTTGGGTGGCTTCAGGGCCAGTTATAGACCTCAAAAAAAGAGTTCTCACTGATGACAGCAGAAGCTGGTGAAGGTGTTTTCCAGATGGGCTACAGATTCCCCATTTGCTGCTGGTTAGGATCCTATTTACTCCTTTTTTTCCCAGGTGGGAAATGGAGAAGCAGAGATGGTCTGTCTCACAGGAGATGCTGAAGCTCAGTTCTGTAACACCTGTACAGCCCAGCAAGCCACAGCACAGCTGCAGGTGCACAGCACAGGCCACTCCCTGAACCAGTCCCTTTGGTAGAAATGGACAGACACTTGAAATTGTTGAATAATGTGAGCATAAATCCTTTTGGCCATCGCTGTGGCAGTGCTACTCTTGAGGAGCTCATCCCCTGGCTTTAGTTCAGATCCCAAATGGCTCTTGGCTTTTCACCACTGACCTGCTTGGTTGGTTTTCTCCAGCTGAGAAATGAAACCATGAAATCACAGCCCTACCCCTTTTGGCCATGGGCCTTCCAACCACAACAACTCCCAAGCACCTGTCTAGTAGCAGGTGGAGATCCTGGAGTTTTGGATACTTACCTGGGCAAGCAGAGCTGGGATGCTCCTTCAGCCAGGAGCACTCGTCGTGCTCTCAGGGGATCCATTTCCAAAGCATGGAGACACTGCCAGCAAGTCCCTTCCAGGGGCAGGAAAGGTTCTTTGGCTCCCCCAGTATTGTTTTGTACAAGAGGCTTTTGGCAGTACTTGCTGCCCTAGAGGCGAGGTGCTGCAGGACACCAGTCCTGTGCTGGGAAAAGTGTCCCCTGGGCTGGTGGCAGCTCTGATCCTTGCATGGTGGCAGCGGGTGGAAGCAGGGGATGGCCCTGGTCACGTCAGCGGTACAATAGGATTTACAGCAAGCACGTTTCTCAAGACATCTGCAGGGACAGAGCTTCAGTGAACATCTTACATACACAGGCAGCAGAGGGGGCTGGGTTGGACCCTCCACTGCTGCACAGCAGTCACGGATGGACTCTCGGGCAGGAAGGAAGTACCACTGGTTTGCTTTTACATCCTGTACGTGTATCTATGAACAGCTCCTTGGCATTTGATGTTCACAACCAGCAAGCACAAAAAGGAGGCAAAACATCTTCAGCGACCTCCCCCTGGGAGCAGAGGGATCTCTCCCTCCCTTGGTTCAGCTGCCCACCCAGGTGCCACCTTTGCCAAGGGTGTGTCCTTGTCCTGGCACCCTCATCCTCCTGGTGGGCTGGGACCAGTCCAAGCCAAGCCGTGCTCGCCTCATCTCGGCTGCTCGGGGGCATCAGTGCAAGTCTGCGCCGGCTGCTCTGCATCTCCGCTCCGCTGGACGGGCACGGGCAGACACAGGGAGACAAAACAAAGGGACAAGAAGAGAGACAAAGGGTAATGAAAAGGTCCGTGGCCCACGGCTGCCAAAGGAAATCTCTCGCCGCGTTTCTCTGACCACACTTGTCCCAGCCACTAGAGCTGCTGTGGGATCCCCTGCTCCTTGTAGCCTGTGAGGAGGGAGGGGAAGGGAACATGATTAGAGTTTGTAGGAAAGGCATTTTGTGCTGTTCTTGTGAGCCAGCGAAGGCTTCCTAAAGATAAGGAAAGCCCTCTATCTCTCTCGAGGAAGACACCAAGGCTATCCCCATGACAACGTGATGAAGGAGAGAAAGTTACAAGATATGGACATTAGTTGGCCCACAGAATGACGTGGCTCCTTGTTCACCTACTGAGAACTTTGTTTCTTATGACCAGTGGGCAGTGAATGTTAAGTAAATGTAAATATCTTGAAAAACTATAAAAGCAGCATGTTGCTGTAATGAATCTCTCTTTTACACCTTTCTGATGGAGTCTTGGTGCTTTGTGCCATGTTGCACTCTATAACAACAAGAATTAATTCCAAATAAGGACCTTTGGTGAGGCTCAAGCAAGTCATGAGCCTGGTTTACCGGGAGTGGCAAAAACCCCATGGGAGAACAGGGGGGTACCACATTGTCCCTCGTGGCCAGGCTGCCCAGGGCAGCCCCCTGCCCTGCTTTAGCCAAGAGCTGCCTGGTGCTGCTCCTTCCTGGGCACAGCCATGTGGGTGCTGGCAGCCAGCCCTGCTGCTCTGGCACCTCTGCTTAAAGGGATTGTAAGAGCACAGCAGGTACCAGTGGTCAACAATTCCAGCCCAATAACCTGAAGTTTTTATGGAGTGTGTTTTCCTGTAGTGCAGGGGAAATGGATGCGCTTGTATCCTGCTCCAGAGACACAGCTGCTCCCAAGCACTGCCCTGGTAGGTTGTGCATCCCACACTCATCTCTCCTTGGGATCTACTTGAGTTTGAGCCTCATCCTCCCAGAGCACTGCCAGGTAGGAGGAGGTTGGTTTCCTCTGTAAGAGTCTAAATGAGGGATGTGGGACTTTAGGAGCTCTCCAAAATGCAGTTTATTCCATCCAAGAGGTTACAGCAGCGCAGGGTGGTGGGTGACAGAGCCTGTGCCTACAGCTGTCAGCTCCAGCTGCAGGCAGGCCTGGAGACCCTGAGTTTAGGTTACAATGCATTATAGACTTTTCTTTGTTGAGCATCTTCATACAGTAGAACCAATCTATACCTTAACTTTTATCCATAGCCTACCATAACCACTATAATTACCATATTCATGCTACTGTTCTCCAATCACTAAAAGTTAGTACAGTTTAAGCTAGAAGTTGTTTTTCAGTTTTCTTGCAGTGGAAAATTCGGAGGCCTTTTTTCTACTTGCAGCATTTGCTGCCTTGTTTGCCTGTGCTCTCTTTCTGCTTGGTAAAAACATCTTCTTGTTTGAGGTGGGTTTATCCTTTGCTCTAAGTCGTAAAAACCCCTTCTAACTAACACACCCTTTGCCTTCTTGGTTATCCAGTAAGACTGGCTCAGCAGTTCTTTCCTGCTATATCAAAACTTGCTTTAATTTCTATTCCTTCTTCAGATTCTACATTCAAAAATCTTTCTGCCAAGCATACATATCTGTGAGACTTTCTTGTCAAACTTTCATCCTTCCCAACATTCCTCTATCCATCTTTGTGTTCCCCTGCTGGCTTTTGCTGACAGCACTCCCCAGCAGCAACCAATTTGTGCTGCAGTTTGCACAGGTGAGCAAACACCTCTTGGAGAAGGGGAATGCCTTGACTCACAGGCTGAAGTGTCAAACACAGATCTTGGGATGCCTCTAATGATATTCTCACTGCCTGGTTCTGCACTTGCTTTGCTCCAGCCCAGCAGAATTACAGGTGCCTTTGTTAGGGCACAGCAGCCATCCAGTGGGCCTGGAGGAAACCAATCTTTTCAGCAGCAAAACCAAGGAAACTGCCAGGATCCCTGTTCCTTCACACCCTTCCCTCTTCCTGTGGCCATGAGGTTTGATGCACTTCCCAACCAAGACAGCAAAGCCCTTGTTTTGCAGCCACAGGGATGTTCCAAGGGCTCAAGCAGCCTGTCCTGCTGCTTGTCACAGCTCCTTGGGCTCCTGGGGCCCCAGATTATTCACTGTAGTGCACACACATTTGCAGGCTGCAAATCCCAGAGGGGACAGTTTCATCCCCTGGCAGGGCTAGGGCAGGGAAGGGCAATAGCAGAGCACCTGCAGCTCCTGTGCTGGTATAGGATGATGAGAAAAATACTGGATTTTTTTAATGCTTTCCTATGAGAAAAATACTCTATTTTTTTAATGCTTTCCTAAACAGTTGCAATGACTGCACCAGAAGCTTTCCCCACTTCCCTTTCAAGAGAAGCTTGTTATTCTGACTTTATCAATGCAAAAAAATCTCCTGATTAAAGAAGCCAACTGCCCTTACTTGCAGTGCCTGCCACAGTGAGTATCTTTCAACTAAAAAACTTTTCTAAATCTGGATGGGTTTTTTTTTTCTTAGCTTAAGTAACCTGTCATTTCTATATTTTGAATTTCAAAGAAGTCTGAAATTTTATATCTCAGAAGAATGTTTAACTTTTCAAACACTTTTCCATTTATGCTTTGTAATATTCTTTCTAACCCTTATGTTAGGCTTTTTTAAGTCCCTTACAAAAACTGAACATAAAATACCAGCAGGTGCCAGAACCCCTATCTTTAATGGACTTTTTGCTGAACTAAGAATTGACTCCAGGGAATGAACTTTGCTGTACTTTGGAAAAAACCCACACATTTGCCCAGGTTTGGCAGCCTGGACCTCCTGCTGCTAAACAAGCACGAGGGACAGAATAATGACACTTAACTGAATTTCTGCCTATTGTGTGCAGCTGAACAGAAAGACTCTCATCTCTTTCAAACAGCTTTTTCTAGGGGGCAAAATGATGATTTCACATGCATTTATGTTTTAAGTGTGAGTCAGTTCTGAAGGCAAGGTGAGCTGGCTGGAAATTTGTAATTTTAGCTTGTCTGTGGCATTGGTTTAATTTGTTTAGGGAGTGGAGTTAAAAAAACCCAAACAACCAACCCTATGGACCAGAAATGTGGGGCCTGCCTTAAATCTTTAGCTAAAGTAAGAGTAATGTATTTGTACAGCCATGCTTTTTATTGAGATATAAAGAAATTAAGATTGGGAAATCCTTTCAGTCTGGCTGTCACTGTTGAAACTGGGTGGAAGGAAGTGACAGTGGCCGAGCCTGTCTCTTTACATGACCATAAGTCAAAAAAATGACCTGTCCTATGCTAAACTTGTTTATTACAATACTTCAGCCTTAACTTATCAAACAGTTTATATGTGAAAATAGTTATTGCATTTCTTGCATAGGACTAGCTGTTCTGTATGAAGCAGCTTTACATTAATATGCCTGCAATCCCACTGAGGTGCAATTCTGTAGAACAGACAGCTCTGGGTTCAGGATTAAGTGGCCCTGTGCACAAAGTCACTGATTTAATCGAGTTTACTTGAAATTGCACTTCTCCTGTAAAGCACTGCATATAAGATTGAGGCAAAAGGAACACAGTCTGTGCACAGGCTGTCCTTCTGGGACTGGGTTCATGCAGAGGGTGGCTTCAGGATGCTCTCCATGCTGAAACAGGCTCCTGCTCTGCTCCAAGGGCACCCTTGGGCCATCCCCAGGGGCAGTTCAATGCTGAGTGAGGATTCCCAGCATCCCTGGGGCCGTGCAGCCACAGGACAGACACAGACACAGTGGACACACATATGTAAAGGCTGCACTTGGGCTGGGAGTGGGCAGCCCTGGCCAAAGTGAATTCCAGGTGTCCTGCCCCGACCAAAGCTCGCTGCTCTCCGTGGGAAACTGACTCAGAGCATGAGGAGGAGGAAGAACAGAAACAAACTTACCTTGTGAGACTTTGATGGTGAACAAAAGGAGGCAAAGGAACATGAAAGAAAGAGAGAGGGAGAAATGTAACTGTAGACGATATATCTGAAACACATGGACAACCAGAAGAGAATGAACAAACTGAGGCTGCAGAGTAAACAGAGAACAGCTGCTCTACCCTCAGACATTCACACCAGGGCTAAACATTTCTTTAAATCCTTGTACTTGAAGCAGATAATTTCATTTGGGACTCTTGTTTAAAGAAGACTGGGGAATCCTCATCTGCTTTTCCAGCCGCAGGCAGAACAGACTGGATGGGCTAACACCTCTGAGCAATGCTCCAGAAACTCTCTCCTCTGTGCCATTGGCATTTCATGGCTTTGACTGAAGGGGAGCCACTGAAGGAAGGCATCAAACAAGACATCACAGTGTACCAAAGGGCTCATGCCATACCATTCACAGTCCCAGAGTTGGGAAAACTACATCTGAAGAGTTTTTGGCAGCTTCCCTGCTCAGTTTGCTTGTGCCCACAGGTAGCTCACAGCATGCCTCAGCCTGTCTGGGTGCTGCAAACACTGGGGCTATTTAACATTCCTACAATGTTTTAAGAACTTCCCCCACCTCTGCATTTGGTAAGAAACTGCAAAAAAGGGATATTTTAACTACTCCCCTCAGGCCTAGTTTGGGGGACAGCTCTTTTTAGATTTTTTTTTTTTTTTTTTTAAGTGTGGGAAGTCCAAGCAGGCAACATGTCCTTGTATTTTCTTCATCTCATGAGGGGTTACTGGTTGGTTTGGGCCTCCTGCTCCCCTTTCCTTGCCAGGAGAGCAGTGTTACCTGCCCCAGCAGGGGCCCTGCAGAGCAGAGAGGCTCAGTGATGCTTTCCCTTGGAGCCTGAGCATACAGCAACTGTGCAAGCATCTGCTGCTGCTTCTGGCAGGGTCTGAACAGAGTAATTAGCAAAGGAGTGATGAGGATAGCATGATTACAGGTGAGTTCTCACTGCTGGCTGGCAATCAGCCCTGAGAGTCAGCCGAAGTCTCCATCCAGTGAACCTGAAGCAATGGTGCAGCCAAGCACATCGTTCATTCAGAGCTGAGAGCTGAGGGAGGGCTTCCTTCAGAAACCAGGGCTTCCTTCAGAAACCAGCCTTGACTTCTTGGCTGCATCCAGCAGAGGCAAAACAATGCCTGGACAAACAGTCCCTGACTTGTGTCCCCTGTGCCACATCAGTGTGACATTACTATGTTATTTCTCCGGTGTTTCTGTGAAGAAATGCCACGCAGCCTTTTATACTCGGTTCTGAGCAGGCAGGGACTTCCTGGAAAGTTCATTCTGCACAGTGGGCTGATGAAGGTGTGGGCTGGGGACAAGGTGTGCCTGTAGCCAAGGGAGCTGTGCCTGGAAAGCCTTAGGAGGCTTGTTTTGCAGTTGGCTTTGGCCAGCTCATTAGCTGTGGGTTGCCTCAGCTCTGTGCATCGTCCCCGCAGAGGTGGTAAGGGGCTCCAGGAGAGCACACTGCAGCAGGGCTGCCCAGCCCTTTTTTGGCAGAAGAATTAAGTGCTCCCTAGTTCTACCTTTGCCTTCAGAGAGCAGGTACAGCAGAGGACAGTTCCCAAAGCTATCTGGCTGCTTAAAGAAGATATCTGTGGTGTCCAGTGGGGCCAGCTGGCAGTTCTTTTAAATTAGCAGAGAAAGTGCCCTGTGCTGTGGTGCTGCCAAAAGTAATTAAGTGTGACAGCAAAACTGCATTCCATTTATCTTCCTTCTGGGATATTATCCTGATAAAGGGCACCCTAGAGGAGATGAGGGTTGGACAGGACCCCCAGGTCAGTCAGTCTCTTGCTGTGTCCTACGTTGTCCCTTACAGACATGGGTCTACCCACTCTTGGAGTCTTCCAGGGACAGAGAGAGCAGATCCTGCCATGCCACCTCTGCAGACTTTGACCCTACTGGAGGAAAAACGTGCTCTAATTTCCACACAGGTCTTTCCTGGTGTTATTCAAGTCTGTCTTAGGCTGAACTGCTGCCCTCTCACATTTACTAGCCCACTGAACACCTTGATCATCAGCATGCCTACTGTCTTACTGGACTCTGGACTCTCCAGGTTTTCCACTTGAAGTACAGCCTCCAAAGCTGGCCACAAGCCTCACCACAGCTTTATGCATGCAGGGAAAGGTGATGGGATCAGGGAAAGCCCTATAAGCCCTGCTCCCCCCTGCCTGTGTGGTGTTCATTCCCTCTGCAGCAATGTTCCCCCTGTGCTGCTTGTGACTCACTGCAGCCACCACGTCCTTCCCTGAAAAACAAGTTGTTCCCTAGTGTGTATTTATGCAGTTGATTAGTCCTTCTGTAGAGTCCTGGGCTTGTCCCCACTGAGTAGCACTTTCTGTTTCCAGGCCATTTCTTTGGATCTGGGCACTGCCCTCGCTGTGCCTGCCAGGTGTGTGGCTGGGGAGCCTCTTCTCCAGCCCATCCTCAAGCCACAAATGGAAATACTGAGCAGAGCTGCATTCAGGAGGGACCTTTCAACACACCTCTCTTTATCTCTTCCCAGGTTAGGAAAATCCATTTAGAGGAAAGTCCTCAAGTGCATTTTCATGCTGGCCACGTCCCCCTGGCTCGCTGGTAGGAATGCTGTGTGAGATGGGGTCAGCATCTGAAGGTTAGGAGGGATGGCTGGCTGCTGCCACCTCATACAAAATTAATTCCTCTGCCATCCAAGGGAATCCAGCCAGTCTGACACAGCTCACTCTGGACTGACCCACGGTGACTTTGTGGGGGTGGTTTTTATTTTCTAAATGCGTGCGAGTCACTTACTTGATTACTTCTTCCAGGAACTGAAGCATACCTGATTGGACTATAATTCTTCTCCTTTTTCCCTCATTAAGGACAGTATGCCATTATCCTCAGAGCAGACTCCCCCTTTCCATGCCTGGGAAATAGCACTAGAAGATGAAAAGCTGGAAGGAGTCTCCTGTTCAAAAGGCAGGTGGATGTGGCACTTGGGGAACATGGCTCAGTGATGGACATGATGGTGATGGCTTAAGACTTGGACTCAATGATTTTGGAGGTTTTTTCCAACCTCAGTGATTTTATGATTCTGTGGTTCTAACTCCCTCCCAAGTCTCTACCAGCTAACAGAGAGGCAGGGACAGAGACAGGGAGCCAGGTGAAATGGCTCCATCCCTTAGGGAAAGCCTGAGCAGAGTTCCTGGCCCTCAGCTGCTTCCCACCCTCCTCCTCACTGCTAGCCCTCACCAGCTTAGACAGGACCTGCTGTGTCCTGCCTCTAGCCCATCCAAATAGCCTGGCACCCTCACAGGGACACCTGGGATCAGTCATTTCAAGGCAAGGGGACTTGAGGTGGGCAGTGGTTTCACACTTTAACTGTTTCCCATCTGCACCCAGATTAAAGTTGCAGTGGTGTACGGTTTCTGTTCAGTGCATCCAATGGTTTGCATGCAAACAAAACCCAACAAAGCAAACTGGCAGTGTTCTTAAATGAAATGTCTTATTCCTTGCATTAGAAACATGGTTTCCTTCTTAAGTTATTATTTTTTCTTTCAAATATGATAACAAGAATCAACCACTTTGGGACTGACAGGGCTGTTTGATACAGGTAAAAGCAACAGTCACTTCATTCTTTGTTTCAATTAAGGTTTTTCTTTTCTTCTCCATCAACCCAGAGCTGCTGCATTTAGCCACTACTTTCTCTGCATGGTAAGTAAACTTAAAAGCAGCTATTTAATGAGATGGCAAGAAACTGCCAAGGGCTGCTGCTGGTAAAACATAAGACATGTTGACTCCTCTTGCCATTCTCTACTGCCACCAGAGGGATGAAATACTGCTGCTGTGCTTGGGCACCTCCTGACCTGAGCATTGCCACCACATGCTGCTCATCCATCTTCTGCCTCCCAAACTGGTGGAATCCAGCCAGGTGTGGGAAGGAGTGTTTTGGGAGATACTTCCAAGCTGTTTGGTTTACCCTAACAGCAAAACTGGAGAAGACCCTCCCAGTAAGACCCTCCTAAGCACCAACCCCTCTAACTGGAGAGCAGGGCTTTGGAGCAAAGCAAGACACAGATTCAGTGGTGGTTCTTTGTCAGGACAGATGTTTCCCCGGCTCTCCCCACACCTGCAGAGTGGAGTCCTGCCAGACAGCAACCCACACATGGGGGCTGCCCCACAGAGGAAGAACACAAGAGTTGATGGTTGCAAACTTATGGCACTACACACAAATCTGGCAGGTTCTTGAAGACACGTCACACGTACACCAATTCACAATTTAGCCTCAGAAATGACCTGCTCTGCAGGTACATCTGGGAGGAAACGTGGCAGGTGGTTTGCAGGGTAAAGCAAAGAGCAGTACTGCCTTCATCCTGAGGAAAGCTTTTGCTTTGCACATGTTCAGGTTTTTAATATCCATCGTTTGCTCTGCATGGGGACTGCCTTAACTGAAGCTGGCTCAGAAATTAACAGGTGGTTTGGTGAGAGGATTTAACCCCTGGGTTTGGCAACTGAAAATGTGCACTGGTTTCCTGCCTTTTTTTTTTTTTTTTTAATTCCAATTTCATCCATTTTGTCTTTGGGAAGGTTTCTGGCAACTTCCTGAGATCCTCTCTCCCCCTCTGTCATGCAGCCACGGATGTCATCAGCAGAGATGACAAAGTGGAGCGTCTTCAAAGCAAAAGGCAAAAGCTGCCCATAAAATGGTCTCTGGGAGAAGGGCTTCCTTTGGGAGCTGCCTGTCCTGTCAGCCTGAAAGGTCTCAGACATGTTTGGTTTCAGGGCTTGCCCATCAGCCTCTGGAAAGGGAGTGGGGTCTTGCAGATGGCACCAGCACCCTGAGCTCTGTGCTGCTTCTGGCTTTGGAGGTGAGATGAGGTTGTCACCTCCATCCTCTGCACCAGGATACAGGAGACTATGACACAACTTTTACACCAGTGAAAGCCTCTACCAAATGAAAGTTACAGAGCCTGTGTTCTGGATTGGTCATATCTACTAACTGGTGGCTTCAATTATGAACATTTGAAAAAGGATTCTTCTTTCCTTAAACTAATGTTTTAGTCAACTCAAAGGGTGTATGGGACGTCATTCTAGGAGCAGTAAAACACTTCTGGCTCAGCCTAAGAATGAAAAAATACTCCAAAACAATGGGTAAATGTATCCTGGGGAGGAAGAGGAGGGTCCAGGAGAATCTTCAGGGCTTTTCTGGGGACAGCTAGCCCTGGGAGCAGAACTGGCCTAGCAAGAAGGTCTCAGTAACCACAGATTTGCAGCCAGAGTCACAAGGGAGAAAGCTTTCTTATTCAAATGGATGTGACCAGGGCAGAAGGGGCTCCAGACAGCAGAGTTCACAGTGCTCCCCCTTCCTGCACATTTCATTTCATACAGGGAACTTCCCGACCCATGTGGTGGGATGGGAGACTCTCCCACATATGTTATGGGGCCCATTCCCACTGCCTCCCAGCAACTTCTCTGCCGTGCAGAGAAAAGTCCAGGATAACTGCATTTCTCATGGACTTGCAGAGCCCATCCCATGGCTCTTCCTCCCTACAGTGCAGCCCAGCAGCTCACAGGGCCATTGTCTGGGACACAGCACCATTACCATGGAGAGGAGCGGTCAGGAGAGTGAGCCCACTGCACTTACTTGCCAGGATGACCATGTCCATGCCCCAGAATATGCTCATGATCCAGCCCACCATGACGATGGCCGTGAGGATCTGGATGAGGGCGGCGGCGATGTTGAGCCAGAAGACGCAGCACCGGTGCCGGTCGGGGAGGTCGGTGCGGGCCCCGCAGAGCACGGTGAAGGCCGACACGAACGTGCCTGGGGACACACAGCAGCACAGCAGCCCTGAGAGAGAGCCAGGCAGAGGCAGCACCCCTGAGAGCCAGGCAGAACCCCTGAGAGAGAGCCAGGCTGCACCTCCTGCCCTCACATCGCCGCCCTCCCCTCGGAGCGCCTCGCTTTCCGTGCTCGGAGAGCAGGGTGGAAAAAACACTCCTTGGGTGTAGCAAAATCATCATCTCCCCCAACAAAAAGAAATTATTGATGTCTGACTGCAAGGCGTTGTGTGAAAAATGGGTATTTTATAGTTGGCTTTTAGCAAATACTGAAATTAACATGGCAAAAGACAAATCAAACCAGCTGATGCTATAGTAGGGCCCTGCCCACTTCTCCCATTTCCCAGGGCTTTCTAAATTTTCCATTTTTGCACTTCACAATAACAAAGAACAAATTTGTATTTTTTAAGGGCAGGGAAGCGAACAAAATGCAGACTCAAATGAGAGTGGGAATGGGAAAGCTGTCCCCAGGGGCTGCTGGGGGGTTCCAACCCTGCACTGGCACAGGGAGGAGAGATGTGTTCCCCCAGCCTCTCACCCCTAGAACCACCCAGACAGGAGATGTGTGTAGCCATGATATCTTCTGAAAAATCCTTTCCTTAGGATTTTTTCTCCTGAGAAGCTGAGAGGCCTCAGGAACAAAATGTAAACAATGGTTACCTGCTGCTGTGGAATGCAACAGGTGGATCCGTGATTGGTCTCATGTGGTTGTTTCTAATTAATGGCCAATCACAGCCCAGCTGGCTTGGATTCTCTGTCTGAGACACAAGCTTTTGTTATCATTCTTGCTTTTCTATTCTTAGCTAGCCTTCTGATGAAATCCTTTCTTCTATTCATTTAGTATAGTTTTAATATAATATATATCATAAAATAATAAATCAGGCCTTCTGAAACATGGAGTCAGATGCATCTCTTCCCTCATCCTAAGACCCCTGTGAACACTGTCACAGATGTGGGCAGCAGGAACCCTTCACCCCCCTGCCCTGCTCAGTCTGGCTCCGGCAGACACACACAGAAAAAAAAGGAGTGGCACTGCATTTTTGCACAATTTTTGCACACCCAGTCACAGGCTGCTACCTGAGGGCATGTTTTAACCAAGCAGAAGTAGCTAAACTTCTTAAAGTGCTGGAGCCAGGGCACCTGGTGTGGCAGCCCTTGGCTCAGCTTGAGACCAACTTGCAAACCTTGCAACCACACTCCAAACTTCCCAAAATGTTTCAGATGAAGGATCCTGTTGATGTATGAAAATTAAAGCTGGAGAAAAACCCAAAAACCTACACCTCATCAGCCTTTCACAAAGATTCTTCCTAAATTCCTACTCTTGGACAAGGCAGATTTTTAACTTTTAGCTGCTATGTTGTGCTCATGGTTGGCTGACACTCACAGCTCAGGAAAACCTTGTCTGTCCCACAATCAACACGAAGAAATACACACTATGGGTAAGGAGCAGAAGAAGCAGTTCCTGGCTCCTCTAAAATATGAGCTGTTGGCCAGGGGGTTCAGGCATCTTTTCAAAGTATGGATTTCAACACCTCTTAGAGTTATGAATTGTCCTTGGGTTTTTCTGAAACAAATACAGCATTGCTAAGGTAAGTACCAAGGTGCAATGTTGATTGTATTGGATAACACAGTTCTGTGAAGTGCCTTCTTTCATCAGTATCTTGAATTAAAATGATGGTTTCTACAAAAAGTGCCTTTTCCCCCACTTAAAGGATGGAAGCCTGCAAACAGCCCGTAGGATGTGAATGAATGAGCACATCTTCAGTGCACGAGTGCCTTGTTGAACTCAGAGAAGGTGGGAGGCCCTTGGGTGGACTGAAAACAGGGACAAAACACTCGGTTTGCACCCTTGTAGTAAATCTTATCAGACCAAGAGAGCAGAACCATCTGGTTAGAAGCAAAATACCACTTTGTCCTGCACTGCCGGGGAGGTGGAGGAGAGAATCTCTTTCTTTGCTGCCTCTTCCTTAGTGGGTCACAAGGATAACAGGCAGCTGAGATGCCAAAATGCTGGGGAAGGCTGGCTACAGCCTATTTTTAATCCTACCACCCTCTGCAAGCTTCAATTCCAGTGTTTCCCTAACACTCCACCAGCTCCTAAAACCCTGCTTGTCTTCCTGCCACTGGCTGGATCCGATTTCTTATTTCACCCCCTCCCTGTGGCTTCTGCCAGAGCTGGGCATGGAGGGGACTGAGGGATGCTGCTGGGGCAGGGGGAACACAGCCCTACAGCACAGCATCACTGCCAGGGACAAGGGCAGCATGAGAACCACCCCTGGGCTTCCTTGGGCAGGGTTTCATCCCCAAATCCACAGAAACAAAAGGATCTGCAGAGAGGAAAGGGAGAGTCATTATAGTCCCAAAGGATGTTGTGTGAGTGTCCCCGTAGCTGTCTCTTGCTCTGTGGCATTGTCTTCCACGTCTCTTTTGTCCCGTGTGGGATTGTGTGACATCTCTGCCCTGCTTCACCCACGTTTTTTTTTTTTTTTCCTTTATAGTTTATCAAAGCAGAAGGAAGCCTGGAATATTTCCCTCCTGCTTCCTGCAAGTGTTGTCTTCAAAATTACACCACAGCACTCTCTGAGATTAAATAGGGATTGAGGCAAGATCAGAGGCTGGATGTTTATGTTTTCCCATCAGGATGCAAAATCTTGCCAAATGGAAATGCCTGTCTCTTTTAAAAATGAAAATCTTCCCCTCTTGCCTAACCTTTAACTCTTCCAACATGTGTTACGAAGAAAGGTCAAAAATGAGCAATAATTCTTAAACTACAGCTTCAAATCCTTCCAGTGAAGCTTTTAAGATATTTAGAGCAAGGTGCTGAATTAGCCAATTAATGCCCTCAATACCACAGTGACTAAGCTAAAGTCTAGTCCCGTTCAGAAAGGAATAAAGCTAACAAAGCATTTAAGTATCCTCCTCTGGACTGGGAATAGATACAGAAACTGGGATTAAAATCTCCTGAACCTTGACTTCTGATTCCTCTTCAGGCCACTTTCCTACTCACAGGAGCCAATTCATTTTTCCAGTGTCAGTCCATTTTCTTTATTACTTATGATGAGCCAATCTTTGGGAGCTTGATGGCATTTTTGAGCACAAGACTTTGGCTGTGCCAGCAGGCATAGGATGGAAGCATTTTCCCTCTACTCCACACATGGTTGAGAATGTGAAGCAGGAGTAAGAGTCTTAAATGCTTTTGCCAAAGCAGATGTTTTCTCCTTCCTGGTTACACACTGCCAGATATGGAATTATTTGCATCTGGAAAGGGAGAGGTGGAGAGGAGGAGGAGGAAGGCAAGCAAGCTGTATCTGCCTCAGAGCTGGGGCACTGAACCATTTCCCTCCCTGACCGTTCAAACACTGGTTTGAATCCCTACAGCCTGGAAACCCTAAACCTGGAATGCCAGCTGCTGAGGTGATGTTAGCCAAATAAATCAGCAGTCCAAAAAGGTCTCAGGTTGTGAGTGCAGCCAGCAATCACAAACCAGTAACTCCACGAGCAGATATAAACTGAACACCCATGCAGTTGTGCCAGTATAAGATAAGTAAATGATAGCAAGCATTTCTTCCATCTTCCCAATGGAAAAAAACACCCAAACTGCAATGAAATCTGGGATTATTCTAAATCATTAATTAATACAGCCTCTTTGTGGACACAGGGGAGGTGATGGAGTTGTCCTGGACTGTTTTTAATGAGTCTGTTTGTTGAGCCCCTTGAAGTCACCTGGCCGAACTGTACACCTGAAGGCAGCAAGTACCAGGGGCAGAGGGCTGGGTGGGAGATGAGGATTGCTCTTCTGGAGCAGCTGGGAGGCAGAGGGTGCAGGCACCCTGTGCAGCAAGGCTGTGAGGGGCTGTGATACTGATCCTGCTCTTCAAACGCATCTCACTTGGGGCAGTGTCAGCCAGCTGGGGGACCCACATGGTGCTGGGACAGAAAAAGAGCCTCTGGGAGCCTCTGCTTGCTTTGGCTGTCAGCACAATTGGGGTATTTTTAGACTACACCAGCCTGCTGCTTGTTTCCAGCAGTTTAACCCATTGAACACAAAGGGGATGTGTTATCTGCAGAACAACACAATTAAATGAAGGAGCAAAGGAGGGGGTTTGGCCCTTTCTTTCCTTTCTGGTCCGTTGTCATGCAGGATGAAGTCCCCTCTCTGATGTCTGCTGGTATCTTGGCAGCCACAGCCTTCCCAAGAGCATCACCTGCTAGTTCCTGGCCTCACAGCCCACAGAAAAATAGTATGAGAGGGATAGCTTGGGCTCTTCTCTTTCAGAGCAAAACCTCACACCCTGGAAATGGATCCCCTGGTTTCCTGTTTTTGAGTCACTCACCCAGGGTGGAGAAGGCATGAGGTCAAGACCATGGCCTGTCCTGAGCAGTGTCCTCTGTGTTATCCCTGAGTGCAGAAGGGAATGTGTTATGGAATCTGCCTTAAGCTGCAGAAGAGTTTTTCCTCTCCTGTTTTTACAAGAAAGCCCATCCTGGGCACTCCTGCAAGGGCTTTAGTCAGACAGAGCTTGGCACATTTCATGTGGAGGACTAGCTGTGATGGCACCTTGTTAGGAACATCAGAAGTGGGAGCCTGGTTGGAGCCAGAGGAAGATGGGATACTGATGACCACAGTGGAAGTGCAAGTAACTCGAGCATGCAGACAGCTTAGTGGACTTCCCACTGACTGCCAGGTACTGATATTTCGCAGAAGAAAGCATCTCTGATGCAAGGAAATCACATCTGATGAGCTGGTACAGGTGGAAGAACAGCAGAAACCCAAATTACTGCAATCAGGGGCCACAGGTGGAGATGATGATGGTGATGATTCCCTACCCTACAAAAGCCTGGAGTGGGTAGGGAGTATTTCTTCCTCAAAATCATTGAAGGCATTCCTCTGTAGTTCTGGGAGTAAATAAGGCAGTGTTATGGTGCTTCCTTTCCTGCTCCCAGAGAGAAAAACCAGGGCCACATCACGACTCAGGAGCTGGA